TCATTTGGTATGACTCAACGGGCCGGTTCGGTAGTTCGGCTATTAAAAGAGTAAGCACGATTACGCATTTAACCGCGTAACCGGTCTAGGCCTGTCTGGACGGATCTAATGACATCGCCGATGACGATATAAGATTAATATCGTACGATTATTGTCAGACCACTTCTAATAAGAAGCACGAGTCGCAATAATCGTGCAATTCGAGCGCACGGACCCTGATGAGTATTTATACGAAATGGGTTGGCTTGGGGAATTTCCCCAGCCCATTGGTCCCGTCTCGTTGAGCCTACTAGCTCCGTACTCGCTTTTCACAGCCAAACTACCGCACCGACTCCTTGTAAGTCCGGGAGATATGTTAAGTCCCCTACGACGTCTTCGGCACCCCTCCCTCCGGGGGGGCCCCGCCGAAGAGTCGTAGGGTCCACCCTAACCCTCTCGGCCTGATCCGGCACATTAGTCATATGGTATGACTAATCAGATCATCGGTTAGTATTAGTCATTTAATCTTACTAATAAATAAAAGTGGCTCCACTTTTATTATTACTAATGTCGCACCATAATGGCGTGATTTGTTGCAATTCGCTTGGCGAGCGCTGCTGGTCCAATAGCATTAGACCCGCATAGTCTTGGCTTGCACGATTAACGGTCCCTGAAGAGCTTTAAAAGTGAAACAGGTCGGGTTGGCTAATCCCCATCCCCTGTTGGACCTGCATCGCTCCCCAAGCACCGCAAACAAACCCTCTAAGGTGAGTGGTTGTGGCACCCTACTACTCTTGCGAGCCTCCGGCTCGTACCCCCCTCCCAACGCGGCTTCGCCGCGAAGGTCGGAGGGCTAACCCTAAGTCCACCTTATGGAGAACGACACGCATACCTAGTATTGATTTTGACAAAGACTGTCCCGTAGTAGAGCGACTTCAGAATGTGACTCATGTTAACACATGTAGAGAACCATTATCTTGTGCAATCGATGATGGCTATGAAGCCGAGATTAGTACTTCTTGGAATTATTAGGCGTACAGTGCAATAAATGCGAGGTACAATGCATAACCCTGCCCTTCGGTCGTCTAAGGGCGTGATGGTGGGAAAAATCGAAAGCTGACAAGGCGAAAATTACTATGAAAACCGATGAATTGAAGGAGGAAATGAGTATTATGCACAATTTGCCTGTCAGTTTTGCTGTTGAATGACTTTTCCGCATCTCAACTAGATTGTGACACATAAGACGTTAACCTTGTCCAGTTTGTAACATCTTCAGCGAACAAAGTATCCCAGTTCCACGATCTCCGGGTGACCGTTAAACTACAGTTATATTGGATGGAACGAAGTGCAAGTGTAAATGCGCACCTGAATTTCATTTTTAGGAAGAAAATGGTGCGGTAACGGGTTCCATGGAGTCTGCAACGAACCAGTCCGGGCCCACGATTACGGAAGTTCTAATCCCAAGGATGAATCGTTTCGTCCCCGACTTGGGAGGCCGACTAATCAGACGAGCTCGGCTTACAGCCCTCAACAACCCTCTCAGTCAAGTCTTCGTCGCGGGATACAGAAACATAAACATAACTGGGTATTAGATAAACAAGCAAAGCAACAATAAAAATAGATTCTACGGCTACCGCTCCTCCTTGTACGCATACGGAGCCAACCTCACATTCTCATCGTAGCTTGTCCTTGTCGTCATAGGATACTCGCCGCCATCTGTGTAGTCCAATCAGATTCTCAATCCCCCGGGTGTATGACTGATTACGTGCCGGAACTAAGGTTGTTATACGGCGCACTAGGAGTGGGTCGAGCGCCATTCAGCCCAAAGGCCTGTGCAAAGTCCGCCTGCGGAAACCAATACCGTCAGTGGCATGCCGTACAGGCGGAAACTGCGGAAACCTACCTTGTCTTGGCGTGGCCCGTGCGCCCAGGGTTTGCCCGTAAAGTAATCCACGAAGAACCGGAGGGATAACCAAATTTCATGGAAGAAATCCGCGTAGTTTATCGAGTCCCAGAGGGCGCGCCATGCGCCTGCCACAGGTGGCTTTTGAGTGTATTCAGCGGGGGTGTAGGCCCAGAGCATTAGGCCTGAGAAGAATACCATCTGCGGGATCCATCAGAGATGAAGGAGAGGAGAGGGAGAGACGGAGAATGGGTACCTCGATGCATATAGCGAGCGCATTAAGCCCGTTAGCAATATTAGCCGCGGTCCAGTATTTAGTCGCCTTGATAACCCGGCCTTCGAGCCAGCTAAAGACAAATTCCTGGTACCACGGGAGCATGACGATGAGCTTGATACACAGGAACTTGGCGAGTGGTCGTCGGCCCGCTAGCTCTTCCTTCGTAAGGCCGTAGAATATGAGCAGACCGTATAACGCGATCCTGCTTCGGCATGAGTACACATGAAGAAAGGGGCAGGGGCAGGGGTACGCACGTTATACTAATAAAATCCACAATCTCCAAATACGCATTCGCATAATGAAAATCAAACCCCTCGCTCTCGCATAGCACGTTGTACTTTTCACAGATAATCCCCACGATGGAGCACATTGGCCGTATGATGACGTACTGCAACACCGACCACTTGATGGTGTACATAAAGTACGCCTTCGTGGGCCGGTAGCGCCAGTAGCAGAGAGGCATGGGGAGTTTGTTCTTGTCTTTGCGCACGAGGGCATTCTCGGCAGAGTGGTGGGAGCCGGTGGAGGCGACGTATTCGATGAGGAGGAGGAGGAAGGCGGAGAGGGTGATGGCTTCGTAGGCGACTTCGATGAGGGAGTAGTACGTGTAGGACCGGAAGAAGCGGTACGAGAAGAATGAGATTATGGCGTAGACGGCGGGCATGTAGATGATTCGCAGTCTGTAGGTCGATTAGCACGTGGCATACGTATAGTGGTGAAAGGGAGACGGACATTTGTCGTTGTTCGTTAGGGTTGGAATAGTGCCTAGCGTGCTTGCTCGTTGTCACCATCGTGATGATCAGCGTCTGCAGCCCGGTCAGCCAAAACTAAGTCAGACGATAGGGAACCGAACACACCAGAACACTGCACCCCCCAGCAATAGCCCATCCTATCCTATGAGCGTCCCAATTGACTCCATCCGAGTCCCAAAAGGATGACTGGTCGACAGCGTCTTGGTTTTCCGAAGCGCAACCCATGCAAAAAAGTGGTTCGTTATCCTGAGGGCTTCAAGTGGTCGTCGTGGCTGCCTGCAGACTGGGGTGAACGATGAGTGGAGAGGAGAGAAAAAAAGCAATGCTGCGGTGAGAGCAGCGACAGCGCCGAGAACTCGCTTGTGGTGATGGTGATGACGTGAAATTCACAGGCACGTGGCTGGAGATGACACGCTGTCGGCCGTTGCCTTGACATCAAATACAGTCTCACCGCGGTGAAGACTTGGACCTCTGCGCGCGACATAAAGATAGGAGAGAAGTTTAGTTTAGTTTTTATACGGTCTCTGCTGGTGTAAAATCGTGAGCTTTGAAATCGGACCTGTCTCCAAATTTCGCTGTTACTCGGTTCCGCTCCCTGGGAAATGCCGAGCTAGCCGAGACAACTTGGCGCATCGCGAACTTTACAAGCTGAAGCTATCCTTATTCTCCTTTCCTTCATGAGATTTATTTCTCATACAAACACAGGCGGAAGTGGATATCTGTGGATGTCCATCTTATTTTCTCCTTGGATGTGTTCCGCTACAACAGCGAACTAAGCACCTTCCACGTTCGCCTAGACAAAATTAATTAACACTACTATCATTTGCATAAAGTTAACTCACACAAAACGACGTGCTTGACGTCAGCACCTCATGCTTTCAGCGAGGTATCAGCACGATGCAGCAGAAATACGAGTTCGTCAGTCAAATAGACTTTAGCGTCGCGTCCGGCACGATCCTACACTGTCCGGACGTCGCCCGTGAGTACTACTTGAACTGAGCACACGCATCAGTCTACCATAAATGACAAGGAGGGAATGGAAAACTCACTCTGCGACTCTCTCACCGGCAGGCAACGACTCATCCAGAACCACGGGTCCGACATACTCGCATCACGCTTCTCACCGACTGACGCGGTTTTCCCGAGTCCTCCTGCTAGCAGATCGGTTACATATATACAGAGACTCCCAGCACTACCGCAGAGTGGAGTGGAGGACTGGAGAGGCCGTGATATAGACGGAAGTGCCCAGCGATATAGATTCCTCCACGACGAAGGGCGCGAGACTAGGAGAAATCACTAATTCAGGCATCGCAAGTCACCGAGATAATATTTGGCACATACTCGATAATCAGGGAGGTCCTGCAAGCGCGCTTACATTTTCCATCCCCCTTGGTCCACCCCATACTCACATCATCCACACGCCTCCCCCCCCAAAGCCATGGGAAAAATCGGCGCCGGAGGACCGGAATATGGGTGGAATATGCACGGTGAGGAGGGAACGGAAATTTTACTCGGCGACAAGCCAAGACGCTCCTCCGCGCCCCACTTGCACCATGCTTCTCACCCACCGACGCGTCGACCAGGCTTTTCCCAACACACCTCCTCAGACAGGGCGAGAATACATAGATACCCTCTTCTGCACAGCGAAGAAACGACCACAGGAGCCGGAATATCAACGTGAGCACCGAGCGATAGCAGATTCCTCCACAACGGAGGGAGCAAACCTAGGAAAAGTCACTAGTCAGGCGTCGCAAGTCATCGATGTTAAGCTCGGCATTTACTGGTCGTTAAGACGCGCTTACATCAACACATTTTTCCGCTAGCCAGAAAGGCCGTCGCTCTCCCCACTCACAACATCAACGAGCTTTTTCTTTCTTCCCAGCCAACCCCCCCAAAGCCAAGTGAGGTGGAGAAAGGAAGCGTCGGAGGACCAGGGAGGCCGAATAGGTCGGGATCCCTAACTGAGATAAATTCTGAGGGTATGCGCAAGGTATACACCTACAGAGGGCGGCATGTACTCGGTGGAGAGAATTCAGATCCGTGACCGGCATACGTTGTCCCCGAACTCGCTCTTCGCACCACGACTGGCCTTCTTCTTTTGCTAACAAGCCAAGCCGTTCACGCCTCCCATAAATCGGAGTGGGGTGGGAACACAGAAGTACCCTGCTCTGCTCAGCGGGGAAGCGATGACCGGTGGAGGGTTGAGCGATATGGATTCCTCAAAGACAGAAGGAGCAAGACTACGAGACGTCGCGTCAGAATCGTAGTCGATTGCACAGCACGGCACGTACTCGATAGTCAACGAAACATGTTTATGATCCTTCCCATGGCGCGAAGGTTGCCGGTGAGAGATCCGGGATTAACTCCGACGCAGCGTCAAGGATATGAGCCTCGTCGAAACATTCAACGCTCGAAAATGCGTAGGCGTTGCCATGTTTTTCCGTCGGACATGGTATTCTTCGTGGTCCTGCACACCGCTTTCACGTAAGGAATGGAGAAGACAGACATCCAAGCGAGGACGATCCTAGTGTACAGATGCGTCACTTCTTCCTGTTTTCACTCCAACGATGCCAAATTGTGCGGCGCTCGTTTGCTGGATTACCTTTCAGGTGCACGCAGGGGGGCTATTATGTTCAACTTGACGTGTCTACGACATAAGCATTAGCCGAAGATGGCGGAGGAACCATGGCATCGCGGAGAAGAGCATAAGACAAAGACAGGCTTTCAGGAATCTGTTGGGAGTCAGCCTGTGCGAGTAGGTAGGTCGTCCTAGACTTGAACCAATCTTCCATGTCAAGGATCTTGTCGGCGAATGGGATCTCGCCTGCCGGTAATAAGCAGACTGGTTTGAGTCTAAGACGTCCTCCTTCCTGTGGAAACCTTCGACACACGTTGGCCCCTAGTCCCGTGTGTTTTCTTAGTAGTGGTCGAAACGGGTCGTGGCGTGCACCAAAGTAATTCGCACAGGATGATGCCAATATATGGTACTATCCATGAGGTATCAGTACGATGCGGGAGAAAATCGAGCATGGAAAATCTCACCTCCAACAGTCAAATAGACTTAGGCGCGAGTCTGGCGTCGATCCATTTGATCCTGCACTGCAGTGTCGAGATGTCTCCCCGGTCCGTCCGCGCTACTTGAACTGGACGCCTGCAGTAGTCTATGAGAATCGACGAAGAGGGAACGGAAATCTTACCCAGACAAGCTAAGACTCCGCGTCACCCTATCGGCAAGCTGATCTACCGATGCCTCGACCAGGCTTTCCTGAGTCCTCTTGGTACCTGATCCTCACACAGAAGTCCTAAGCTGACTGAGGCGAGAGACGGATTCTGACGGGAGCGCTGACTGAGATGGATTAGGAGAAAGCGAGACTAAGGGATATCGCGTCAGGTATTTATTCAATGGTATAGTGCAGCACATACTCAGTGTTCAAGAGCATGCGATCAAACCCTTTGAGACGATGCGAAAGTGAGTATGAGATAGCCAACGAGTAATAGTCCCAACCTTCGCGCGTAATGCGTAACCATCGGCCAGAAAATGCGATTACGTTATCCCATCTCTCTGCTAGCTGGAGTAGGGAGTAGACATTTCCGTGTACGAGATGAACTGTAAGCGAGATGAAGACTTAGGTGAGCGTCGAGCTTGGGGGGGGGGGGTCGGCATAGGCTGGCCGAAGTTTACGGCGGCTTTCTCCGTGGCTCAAAAACTGCCGAGTTGCGATATTCTTTGCAATCATGCTACGAAGAGAGTCAAGGGATCAATATGCCCACTCGAAAGCGGCCGTAGTACTAGAAACCTGGTAGCCAACAACGTGGCGTGGTGATGACGGATCAATGTCATTTTCAAGGTCCGACGCGACTCAGTCCCCTACCATCATCGTACCCCTCGACACATTACCCGCCTTGCCAATGGACAGCTCACCTCTCACCTCTCAGTACCTCAGAATTTGACGCGGTCCTCCATCATCGAAATGCAAGACTGATGATACAGATCTCATTGAACAGGTGTGTCGGCCTGATTATCGAGCATTCGAGAGATACTAAATGCGATACTGCAGGTCTCCACCACACGATCTTTTATAGAATACTCTGCAAATTTAGCGCACAGAAAGTTGAGGATGATGCATGATTCAACGATATTGAACGTGGTGACTAACAAGCGACCTAACTCCCAGTTCGGCGTGCATAGAGCAAGATGCCGCCTCTGCCAAAGGCCACCATCTCATGGACGGTAGCAAATATTCAGCATCTTCACCCCTCGACTAGTAGCCTCTCCTTCACCTTCCGAATCGCGTATAGTTGGGTTGTACGACATCTTTCAAGACGTCGTATATTGTCAATACACGGCACGGTACCCTGTCTTCTCCAGAAAGTATCTCAAGAACGCCGTTAGGGCTGAGGATTACTTCTTTCAGTGTTGCGCGTAGAAGGGTATGGATGACTGCCTGCTTCATGCACTGTACGCGCTTTTTCCTCAATTTTTTTTTCTGACTGTATTCATTAACTGTATTATAGGGTGTATATTTCCTCAATTCTACGCCCGCCCACACGATCTTTATCCGCTGGTACACAACATCTGAGACGGTACCACTTGCAAGTGTTGAGCGCGAATATTACGTGGTAGCAGGGCTGGAGGCTTGCTTATGAACTTGTAGTACGTGCTGCGATGCTTTTGATATATTCGTTATTCACTGCGCCATAGCTGTCTGCAACGACATTGCCGCCTTACAAAATTCCATCTCCTGGCCCGCTTGAACGATGGTTCACAAACCATGTTGGATCTGCTTTTACTATGCTGACTCGTACGGACTCACTGGACTGCCGATTATTTGGGGTGCCGCTCGAACTGCCCGAATATATTCAAGCTATTATTTCTCTGGGAACCAGGGTATGATTTCCGTCCCTCTGCCTATGTATGCGAGTGTTAACATCTAGACTAGATGCACCTCGAGACGAGGCGGGACGACCGCAGCTGTCGGCGAGGCTGATGCGGAGAGGTGGGAGGGAACGTCGTTTTCTGTGAGACGACGCTCGTGCCAGGAGATATAAGCCCTCGGAACTGTCATGTTCATGCCAATGGAACAAATATTTGCCCTTCTTAGCATCGGAAGTTCTCGTTTCCGGAGGGAAATTGTGGCTGTGACGCGCGCCGGATTGAATTCTTCCCTTCCCCCACTTTCTGTCGCGGCTTTCTCGTGTACAGGAAAGACCAAAATTCGGATCATCTGCACAACAGCAGCGCGAGACGATGCAAAAGCGCCACCTGAAAATAGTCACAAGGAGCTGGTAACCAAGGACGAAGCGACGTTGTGTATCAAGGTCTAACAAGACTCCGACTTTTGCTGCCCTCATCGCCTAGTTTTCTCTGGTGGACTACTGCAGTACTCAGTACGGGCGTCGAATAGGTGAACCAGTCTGAGTATGATCCGAGCTTCGTACGTCATTCGTATTTCGCAATTATGGTCCTCCTCATTTTCCTTTTACCAGATGGCCCTTTTCGTCGACGGGCAGCGCATGTAAACTTCCGAGGACTACGGTATGACGATTAGTCTTCGGTGATTATACGTGATTGATGACGTTTATCAGATCCACCTCGCGCGACCCACGTCTATTTTCTGTTCGTACTACTTGATTTTCCTGTCACACACACTGCTTACTCACTGATATTTCCAAAGCTTCCTTTTTATCCAGTAGGGAAACCTTTGGTGCTGCGCTTTGTTCCTTGGCTGAGCGCTCTCGGGAATGCCGGTGTTCAGTTCATGCGTAGTTCTATTCAGCGTCCGGATGGTTGTGCATTGATGTACACTTCAAACTTTCAATACTATTGCAAGTCTCTTTCTTGCATCGGGAGCATATCTTGCAATTGACCTAAGCAGACTGTATGTAACGTTTCATATATCCACTGCTATGCAACTGACATTTTGGCTATTTGGTAGCCCTTAGCGTTTGACTCCTTAGTCCTGCACTCTTCTAGGGCACCTTCACGTCGCCCTGCCGTCAGAGCTTCTATAAATATGGTCCTGCGCTTGCGTAGGCTAACGGCAGCTGGGGGAGCATGTCGTTTGTTATAAACTCCGACCTTGGAACTACGCGGATTCAGAAGCGCCACAAAGACTCCGATCTGATGGTGATCCTGAAATACCGACAATGTATAAAACGACGAACTTAGACGACTCTTCATCACACCCCATCATGGCTCCCAGAACTCGTGAACAATGGGTCGCAGACCAGACCAGACCGATGCCCGCTGTCGTCACGGCCGACCTGAGTGGGAAGACACTCGTCCTCATTGGTGCCAATGCTGGACTAGGATTCGAAGCTGCGAAGCATTTCGCTAGGATGAACCCCACACGATTGGTTTTAACGGCAAGGGATGAAGCGAAGGGAAAGGACGCTCTTGCCCGTACGTTCTTTGCTGATCTAATCCACGATGCCTACTGATTTTTATCATCTCAGGCGTTCAGAAAGAGACCGGCTACACAAAAGCGGAGCTATGGATCATCGATGTCGCCAATTTCAGCAGCGTCATCGCGTTTGCTGATAGGGCTGAACGTGAACTCGATCGATTGGATATCCTCGTAGAGAATGCTGGTATGGCGACTTGGGAGTACGAACAAGTGGAGGGTTGGGAGAGAACGTACGTTCTGCGTGGCGTCCTCTATGGGCGGAAGAGGACTGACTTTTTTCTTAGGTTGCACACGAACAACCTCGGTCCAGGTCTACTCGCCATCCGTATGATTCCCAAGATGCTCGAGACAGCTCGCAAGCACTCCGTCGTCCCGAGATTGGTCATCGTCGCGAGCGATGTGCATTATTGGACGACGATAGAGAAGGACGTTATCGCCTCACCGAGGATACTCGCGAAGTTGTCAGACAAAGAGTATTGTACAAAAGAGTGCGTATGATCTCTCTACCTCGTAGCATCTGTGCTAACCTTTAAGCAGGGTCATGGATCACCGATACTTTGACTCCAAACGTTCGTCAAGTCCGTATTGATCTTCATACCAACTAACCTTCGCGCCTTCGTAGTGTTCAATGTCCTATTTGCTCGATCCCTGCAACTCCACGTCCCATCTTCCCCAGCAATAACCGTGAACTCCGTTAACCCCGGATTCTGTTTCTCGGGCCTCCGAACTAGTATCCCTGCCGAGGAGGCGGAAACTATGCGGAAGGAGGAGGAAGAACTTTGCTTCACCACCGAAGAAGGGAGCCGGCAACTCGTTTATGGTGCTGTCGGGTCGCTAGATGACGAAGAGAAACTTCGTGGCAAGTACATCCAGATGTCCGAGGTCGTCGAGGAGAGTGATTTCGTGATCAGCGAAGATGGAAAGATTGTGCAGGACAAAGTCTGGGTGAGTGACTTTCACTCTACTGACAGTAGAGTGGATCGTTGATGTCGTGTCCTTTAGGCGGAGATGCTGGACATTTTGGGTAAAATCGATCCCAAGGTCTCCGAAGTAGCGAACTCGTGTCTGAAGAAGATTTGATTGACGTTCGCATTGTTGAATATTTGAATGTACACTATCGTGACGAATATGCAAATGTTGAAAATTGATCATTGACATAGCGCTCGTTTTCGGCTAGGAACGATCATGATCTCTTGACTCACTACGAGACCGATCAGACATTTGCTTCATTCCAAACTACCACCACTACCATCACCTCTTCCTCCTCCCACGATGCCCTTGCTATGTCCCTGTCGTAAGTGTAATTGTCGCTTCGGGATCCAGAAGATGGTAGGGCAACTCGAACCCCCTGAGTATAGGGCTCGCTTCAACCACCTGCTGGCTACGAATGACGTCGCATTGGATGAAGAGATTAACAGCTTCATAGCGATTTCTGCAGAAAAGGAGGAGCTGAGAAATAAAGTCTGACGTCAGATCACCCATCTCAGAGACTCGATGGATTACTTGTTAGCTCTGCAAGGGAAGACAGTGGGAGATAGAGAACTATAACACCGTCAGAACTCCTTTTCGACGTCTTCCCGACGACATGCTCTCGGAAATATTCTTTCAATGCGAGGACGAGATTGACATCCAGCAGAACATCGAACGGATTGGAAAGGACCAAGATGTCATCGCTTCTTTGGATTATCGCCGGGCACCGTTGCTTCTGACTAGGATGTGCAAGCATTGGCGCGCCATTGTTCTATCTCATCCTCGTTACTGGTCTACCATAAGTGTCAATACCCCCCATGGCAGATATGCCAACAGCTCGACGCATATGCAAGCTTTGGAACTGCAATTCCAGCGCTCCAGTACATGCTCATTATCCGTGATACTAAGGAGCATCACAACACTCGCATTCTCTCATACTCTAGAGCTTCTCGTTTCCTCGTCGCATCGGTGGCAGAAATTACTCACGGCGTTCCCAATACAAGCATATCGAGATCTCTGCAAGAGAGAGAGAGGGCAACCTTCCTTTGTTAGAAGAATTCTATGGTCTCACAACCGTTGATATTTATCAAATAAACAGTGCACCCATTCTCGAATTTACCGGCCTCCGTGGCGCTCCCGTGCTCAAAAAGGTTGCGCGCGCACCGGGTATCTTGAGCCATATATCTCTGCATACACTCCAAATCACGGCAGCGGAGGTCATCAGAGCGCCGGCGACGAATCAAGAGCTTATTGCAATTCTTGGTCGACTACCATCACTCAAACGATCTTCCTTCCTCTGCCTGCCAGCCACGGAGAGTGGAGACCTTAGGGGCACCAACGTGAAGATGGCTCAACTTCGGCATCTATCCCTTCCAATGTCGTCCAGTATCCTTACAGGACCCGCGTTACCAGCGCGTTGATTCTGAAAGGAGATATCCTCGTCGATACCGTCCTCTCACAGCTTCAGTGCTCCAGATCTATAGTTCGAGAGGTAATCATCGCCTCGAATGATATTGTTGAAGCAGATTGCATCACCTGCTCAACGAACTCTTGTCTCGAGGTGGTTGTAGTGCTTATAGAACACGCTCATGCGACCGTATTCATCCAAGGGTTATTCGAAACTTCTGGCCTTTCAACAGGCGCTACGCAAGCTCACGTTGAAGGGAGTAAAAACTATTGATCCGGCCAGCCTTGCGCATGTCAAAGATGCGCATCCTGGTGTCGTTATAATGGGGTAGACCATAGACAGTCCTTTTAACAGATTGATGAAATGTCATTACCGTAGGTAGTTACTCAGTTGGAATACCTCCCGTCATGTTTCTATGTTGTTTATTAGTGACCATTTCACAGCGAGTGTGACTACAGTTTAAAGTCATCGCCACATGATATTGGCCACTCAGAATCCGTTCAAGATCAGATAATCCGAAGAACAGCACACCCCATCGATTTCACACTCCCACGTTGAAAATGTCTACCACGACTGTAACATCCGAATTCTTCCTCTGGCTTGAGGCGGCTAACAAGAACATCAGGGGTTATCCAAACAAAGTCCTGCGGTGCTTAGAGAACGGAAGACAACTATCGCAATCTGCCATCGACAAACAGATCCAAATGTATGCTCTTTCTGCGTATATTGATGATATGGCCGACTTACTCAAACCTAGATCCCCATGAGTCTACGATGTACGTAGCTATTCTAAATGATTTGCATGTGGCGATTAGCTGCTAGGCACGCCTTGATCGTAGGTAGAAACCACCCGTAAGAGATAAATCTTTTGACCTCTTCAATTACCCATTTCTCTCATTTAGGTTCCGTCCTACACCCGACTTACTCTTTCACCATAAGAACTCCAACGTCGAAGCGATGGCCTCTCAAAACAAGGAAGAAAATCTTCGGAACGGATCAAGTGATATACAGATCGGTCTGTACCGTTACGCCCTCCTTGCATGCGTAGGAAGTCGCTGGAAAGATAAGCGCGTCTCTCCGCCAGAATCCGGACTTTCTCTTCCCATTACTAAAGCTATTTACGAGGATGAAGAGTAGGATCAGGTTGCTAATCCCGGTCACAGTGGTTTTAGTGTTGTTCACGCACACCGAAAGAAGGGGAAAGAGCGGTGCATAGCAACAAGGAAGATACTTACCCATCACGGTATTGAGCAAGCGGAAAGAGAACGTTCAATCCTGGCGCAGATTAATCACATCCACGTAGTTCGATATCTGGGGTATGTTTCGACGTTCTACGTTTGATAAAAAGGACTAACTTATTTCGCATGGATCGCATCTTGATCAAAGGGCATGCGAGTTCTGCATCTATATGAATTATGTCCCCGGCGAAATGCTTGTTGGCCTGTCCTGCATCATTCCAGTTACTCGAAACGGATGTAAAAGTGCTGATCCGTCAGGTCCTGGATAGTCTTATCTTCCTACATCGTCAGAATATTGTGCACCGTGACATCAAGGGATCCAATTTGTTCATCACGCTCGACGACTGCGCCAAAATTGGGGACCTTGGTTGTGAAACTGTTATCGATCCCGGTACGAGCCCTCATAAAGTTGAATGATATTAACATGGCCTTACATATGGTCATGTACAGTGGAACTTACTTTCTCTCTCCGGCGCCCCATGTTTCATGTCTCCGGAATTGTTATTCCATGATCATTATGATGAGAGGACAGACATTTGGAGTTTGGGCATGGTGATTATTGCACTGTTGAAGCAAGGGCACCCTGGGTGTAGGAACAAACCTGCTCGTATTGTTGTAATGGTATCCGTATGTTTGCTGCAGTTCAGTTTTCCGGGCTTATCTCTCCTAACGTACCAGGTGCATGAGCGCGACTAACACCTACCTGCGTTTCTCAGAGGGATCACTTCTGAATCGATTCTGAGAAAGATTTTATGTTCACTGTCGAGCAAGCTCCCAGCTTGCCTGCTATTATCAGACTTCCACGTATCCGCAGTCAATCTAATGTTGCGGCTCACGCCGCATTGATGTCCTCATGTTATATTTTGGTATTTATATCTCACTTTCTGCTGCAGCTTCGATAAAAAAGCAGTAAATGTGGAGTGAGATACATACTTACACGGAGGAAAGGCAGGTCCTTCTGATCGCGTTTCAGCCGGAGATGTAAGAGTCTATCAAGCTCCTATAACTCTGATACTACAGACGCGTTGTGCTTATGAGAAAATTCCTGTGGTTTTGCCTCTGCAAGAACGCACATAGCGCCGATGGGATGATCCATCATCCCGTATCGCATGGCAAGGTTTCTTTCGACCCTTTCCAAATGGGAGATTTCTTCTTCTTGGGGATCAACCTAGGAGAAGGTGAGAATGGCCTTACATGTGACGCAGTAAGGCAGATATACCTATGGACCGCAAGGAAGAGACCTGTAATAGAAATAAGAGTTCCACAAGTGTTGTGATGCTGAATGGAACAGCGCATTAAATGGCCGCCCTTATTCTTGCGAGCGCTTGACCAAGGGAGAAGCATAGCAAGAATATTCGAATTTGAGTCGCACGAAAAAAAAAACAGATGTGGATCACGCGCCGTGGATCTGACACGGCATCATCATTCACGTTTAATCGCCGAAGATTCTGATCCCATAGAGTGGCCCTCAAAAATTACAGAAATTACAGGTTGATAAAAGTATGAGGAAGACCACAATTGCGAAAATACAAATGACGCACTGGGAATCATGACAGGGAGATAAGTACTAAACTACAACACAGGCCTGTAGATCTCCACCTGTAATACGATTAGTGCATATGGTGAAGGCATGAGGAAGAAGTTAGCCTTGCCAACAATAACCGTTCTCTCATCACCACCATATCCTGGGGTGGGTCTAGTCCAATTTTAGTACTCGCATATATACATAGAAGGACCACTTTCAACATTCTCGGAAGGCTCGAGTAGCATTCGAAATAATCAACAGTCGGCGAGTTCGTATGAACTAGCATGGTAAAAACATTTCCAATAGGTTCCTTAGAATTATCGTTCCAGAGGTCTGTAGGAGTCCTACTCCAGTGTCACCAGTCGGAATTGGGTCACTGGATGAGAGGCGATGATATTATTGCAAACAGCTACAACACAATAATTAACGAATATCTCAGAGGAATTGCAGCAGTACATGTTCATAAGCAAGCGTCCTGCTCTGCTACTACGTAATATTCGCACCCAGCACTTGTAAGTGGTACCGCAAAGAACGTCGGGGACCACTCAGCTATTGAAGGTCGTATGAGCGGGCGCAAAATTGGTGAAATGTGCAGGACGCACAGGTATAAAATTCGCAACACTGCCTGTAATACAATTGATAGATGCAGTCAAAAAAATGGGGAGAACGTACGTACCTTCCATGAATCAAGTGACCGTCCAGGCCCACACCACTGAAAGAAGTAATCTTCGAGCACTAACGGTATCCTTGAGACGCTTTCCAGGGAGTACACCTAAACATACTGTAAAATGTAACAACGATTACGACATTCTAAGGGATGTGGTATGAATCGACTATAAGCGCGTCGAAAGGGAAAGAGGGATACAGAGGGGCGAAGAGAAAGTGTATTCCCAGCCATGTATGACATGTCTTCTGGCAGGGTAATATCATGCTCTGTGTGCCCCAAAGCGAGTTTAGGGTTGCTTGTTGGCCACCATGACCAATGTCATAGTGTTTCCGTGATATACGTCGTCTTCGCGCACCAATTTCTCCAAAAATTCTATACCGGCTCCATTAGGAATCGGTCCCGGGCAATGGATCGAGTGTTGCACGCTAGGAGGCGATGGTGGTGGTAGAAAACAAGGAGTCGGGTCCGATCTTGAGATTGATCCGAGCGATTCGGGACGTAAAACCCGGATAGTCCCACTCCCGAGGCTGTCTCCTAGCTCTCTAGCAACTTCTTGTTCTTTTGTATAATCCACAGTCGTTCATAATCCTTACATAAAACGGAGAGAGCAAGCTATCGAGACGCCAGTACGACCATGTCTCTGAAGGGCCCACGTCACCTGTACGCAACTTGTACGTCACCTTCTAGCTGGAGATCGGAAGATCAGGCCCGAAAACGTCGTGGATTTTTACTTGATGAAAATAAAACTAGTAGGACCTGTATATCGGCAGCAGACTGAGAATATTCTTGCTGCCACTTTGTCACATTGCAGTCCGACATCGTGAGAAGCTACAATGTAATAGGTGTTGGAATGTCAAGTGTCGCGCATCATGGTGCAGTCGACGTCGGGATCTTCAGTAGGAAGCACCGTTCATCTGTTCTCCTCCTCGGCTTTCCTTATTACATCATATTGCTTCTATTAGTGTACACGGCATGTAGATAAATAGGTAGACGAACGACGATGACCCTCGCCTGTTTGCGAGGGTTCCCTGCTATATCCGGGTGAGCGGCTGGAGAATTACCGCTTATCTCAACAATAGGTCCACTTCGCTTATCACTTCAGGTAGTATGAGGCCTTCGATGGGAGTGCGCCACCCATGACTACGGATAGTGCCACCGAGACAAATACAGCTGGAGTGTCTCGAACGAACGAAGAAATTAGGAAACTAGGGACGAACGAGTTTCCAGGCTTGCACGAGACAGTTCAATAGATCGTTTTTAGGCGGCTGATCACATTGAGTCTCACTTCAAGGTGTTGCAGTGGTCAAAAGAGAACCGACATTGCTTATTGGATTTTTTCATCGTTGCCCTGGTCCGAGACACTGTACTTTTATTTGACTTGTATTCTCGATTTTAGCTTGAGAATTGTGACTTCCCTACTAATAACTCAATCCTCCCTTTTATTTCGCTGGCCTTCGCAGTTACATATCCAGGGTTGAGAAGATGAAAGAGATATATGCTGTCAGATGTATTAGCATTTGTTTTTATCTCAGCGTATGAAAGGTTGTCTGTTAAGTTGTTTCGGTGTGTATGCGGCTGTGGCCAACCATTCTGTTCCTTCCCCGGCATTAGATCAACGGTGATCCATATTTATTTTCAAAGCTGTCAATCATGAAATGTTACGGTTGCAATCTAAATTTATTTCATTACGTATAGATAGTTCAAGCAAGGCAGTTTACTGACCTGGGGAGTCTTCATCCTTCTACCTTCATATCCAAGGGAGAGAAAAATAATGATGTCACCTTAAGATATTTCCATCTAGACCAACGGTGATGTACATGGACATTGTTGGTATTGTATTAATTCTGAGACTTCTACGCTCACGTCATGATGGCTTGTTCGTTTTATCTTCAGGGCCAAAAATCATGATCCCTACATACTACCTCTTGAAATCCTTCCAATGTCACAATCGGATTTGGTCAGATTTATTTGGGTTCTCAGATTGCTCTCGGCGGCTGTTTAGTATCCAATTAACATTGCTTAATTTAATGTTCCGCTGTCATGTTTTACGGCCGTATTTGTAGGGTCAATTTGACAATATAACGTACCTATACCGCATTAGCATCACCCAATACGAGAACCGTAATATGGTCCCGCACAGCACACAGAGCAAATGTCACCAAAGTCCATACTGTACCCCTCAGTCGTTTCTATATGGCTGACGCCATAACTAATACGGCCATGATCGCATATGGTTGTTACACTAAACCTAGATCTTCTTTCTTTACATCAGTATGATCAAAGTCCATCATCTTCAGCAGTGCTATTGAACCTTAACAATTATTCACTGCTTCGTGCTGAATATTTCTGAATGCCCAAAACAAAGGGGCAGCGAATCAAACATTGTGCTTGGAATGAATTTGGTATTTGGTATTGCTCGTTACACCTACTCTCCCCCGTCACCTTGTCGGAATTACTTGCGGCATCACCCCTTGCCCCAGAATAATTCAGAATGATCAATTATATTGCCTCAAAATGTACTAGTACTGTCGGGGTTGGACTCCGGGAGAGGTGTTAAAGTATCTGGATCCCCTTGCGGCACTCACGTTATGCAAGATATAAAGCTAACCAACATTTGAATGTCCAATCATCGGGTGCATTTCCCTACCAAATCCCAGCTTTCCGACATGGCATCTCCTCCATCCAATGACTCCCTTCCTGTGAGTATATATCCATAGTCATTGACGTGTACTGACAAATTGCGTTTAAAATACTAGCATCCGAACTCTATTGAAGGCTCTCGATTTTGGGCAGTATTAATCGGCATCGATGCGTATCCATCTTCGCCATTGAATGGATGTGTTTCGGATGCACTTGCGATGAAGGAATACATAACTAACGACTTAGGCGTTCCAGAAGATCATATTCAATGCCTTCTCAGTGCCAGCTACCAGCCATCCTCCCAGTCGGATGACAATGACACCCCCCTTGTCGACAATGGCGTCCATAGCCACCCTGGTGTCCAATCTGGAGCAATATCCGTTGACGATTCCTCCAACCCCACCCGCACGAATATCGTCGAAACACTTCTCGGTCTATCTACTAGCCCTCTGATACAGAAAGACGACATCATAATCATCTACTTTGCCGGACATGGCTCAATCTACCTCTGTTCAGATTATCACCAGTTGAAGCCCAATCAGACCGTTAGATCCATTTCATCTCGTGGATCTATTGAGGCTCTATGTCCCGTCGACCGCAACAGCTCTACCAATAATGGTGCCGCCATCCCTGACATCAGCGACCGGGAGATAAATATCATTCTCTCTGAAATCTCTCGCAATAAGGGGCACCGTATTACCTTCATTGCTGACTGCTGTCATTCATCAGGTGTCACTAGAGATGTGACTACACCATTCAATGTTCGCCGTGCCAAACCGCTCCCGCCTACTTCAATTCAAGTCATGCTCCAAGCCGCGCACGCTAGGCTCAAAGAATTGAGCAGCTATCGGTCCGTATTTGAAGGAAACTGGAATCCCGATAAGGAGTCCCATGTCGTTCTGGCTGCATGTGCAGAGTTTCAGCATGCGAAGGAGGATAAGGGAGCGAGTGGTTGGAATGGAGTGTTCACACAGGCACTTATTAATGCTCTCAAATCAAAGGATTTGAAAGAACAGGCGACATATACTGACCTCATCCTGGCATTGGAGATGCCTTCGAACATTGGGCAGACACCGGTCGTTGCTGGGATGCATATGAATGCACGACTTTGGTACCAGGTATGATGGTGCCTTTTAATATTCTTTGATGAATTGCTCTTACTCAGACATACATGTAGGATTACACCGATAGCTTCTACAATCGAGGATGCCATATACTATGATGAGTATGTATCCCATCATCAAATACCTGTCGTTTGGAGAACCGATGGGTGAATATACCTTTGCATAATGTTCTACGGCGGGAGAGGCTGTAAAAGCAATCCTATATTCAAATGCACCATTCGTAGCTTTGTTCAATCCTGGCGCCATATTTTCTTTGCTTAATTATTGAATATACCCTGTCGAGTTTTCACTCAAAACGCAAAGAAGACTGTTTCGAGTGTATGTGTAGTCCCTTGGCTTTGTGATTAACGAGACGTCGTCTTTCCATTGGTGTGTATCACGTTCCTCGACTTACGTATCCTTCCTGCTTAATATTACCCATGGGGCGTTTGAAGATTTACGGAAGGCAAATTGTGTATCAAACTTGGAACTAGGGACCTCCGATCCTAATCCATCATAAGATGATAGATGACGGCTGTCCTTACACACTTGAATATTCTCACACCAAAGTCATCGATCCGAATATCTATGAGAATACTACTGTGTAATTGACATAATACCGTATACTGATGGCGAGGTAAAGACCATGCTTCCCTGCATAACTATTGGTAAAATCTGACTTTGAGCATAATTTAAACTGACACAACGGAACTTGGCGCCTGCTGAACAACTGTTGTATTTTCCAAGCTGAGAGGGACCAGGGGATGACCGTCCTTCTAACTGTATTTCAGCCGGAGACGTAGGAGTTCATCAAGTTTATCCAGCTCCGATATAGACTTCATGTTCCCATTGGAAAATGCCCGATTTTTGGCCTCTTGGAGAACACCTGCGGAGTCCATGGGACCAGTCATCCCGTATCGTGCAGCAAGGTTTCTCTCTACCTTTTCCAAATACGCAATCCTTTTGTATCGAAGATCTGCCTGATAGGAGATTAGAACGATATAGACATGATGTAAATTAAAGAAGATCTACCTGCGATACGGCATCAGGAGCGAAACCCTCTCTCGAACCATTCTTGTAGGGTGGTAGATAGTTATCACGAAAAACATTGATGTAATTGTTAAATCGATTGAGAAGGAAGGCGGGAAATGCATGAAAAATTTGAAAGTTCTGACTGTATGTGCCAAGTAGCCACCATCTTGAATTTATGGAAAGTAAAAAGCGTAACATCCTATTATTGAGAGTCTAGAGATAGATTAGGAATCCAAGACTTCTTCAAGAAGTTACATAATATACCTGCAAAAGCCCTTATTACTAAGTTTGTCTTTAATCGACGAGAAACCAGGTATTATATGAGCCGCCCGTTTTGTGAGAGGCCGGTAGGAGTGAGTTGGGAGTAGGTCGGAACGTGGTGACAATCCTTCCTCACGGTTTATATCAGAGTGTCCTCATGGTTCCGTCGTGATTTCCGTGCATATAACGTCTGTTTCTGAAGAGTTGTATATTGGGGTGACACGTTGAAACTGGCCACAAGCTACGTTGCGGACAGGTGTGGCCTGTGCTTGAGCATGACGTCATTCGCAAGGTGGGATCATGTGGGAACTCAAAACTCTAAACGCTATGGAATATGCCGATGAGAAGCATGGCAGCGTGCTCGACGTGCAATGCAACTGCTATCTTGAAATCAGTTGAGTGGCGGTGTTCCGATGGAATTTCATGCTTTACAATAACCCAAGTTTATTCTCCTAACTCTACGCCTAACTTGCGAAATCAACCTTGTCACCTCGCCAGGCCAAAGACCATCGAAAAGTAAACTTATGGATGCGCTGTGCCTCACAAACTTGTAATATGATATGTGAATTCGTGTGAGAGACCGGTATACCACCCATTCACCAGGGAAGATTTCATCTGTAGCGCAGAGCATTCCTTCAAACGAAAAGCGCTTTAGATCACCCCTCAAGCGGAAATTACCGAGAATGACATCCGCCATGACAGTAGTCAGGTACCAGGGTTCGATATCCATCCTACTGTTATAATAATCAACTTTGAACCCTAAAGCTACCTTGATTTCCGTCCTTTCCGTGGCCTTGCCCACTGTCCGGCTCGTCTCGAATTGAAGAGGAATGTTGTTGAACCTCGAAATCATCCACTCCCGCTTTTTCCGCTCCTGCCGGGGGAGTTTCCGTTGATTCCAGGATGTGCCGTTCCAGGGATTTCTGGATTCGGTCCGGAGCCAGCGTGATATGATGGGGAGCTTCACGCTCGGTTTGCAAGACAAAAAATGAGGAGAAAAGGGAGGGTATGCTCGTCAGAACGGTTTCTCATTTGCTCGCCATGAAGTTGCTGGGTGCATGTGAATGATGTCACTAAGTACATGATCTAAAAATGCATTGGTACCTTTCCTCCTTTCTCCGTGCCAGACTGATGCGCTCGTTGTCTAGACCGCCTTTCACACTAGGAGGTTACGTTCACCAGCGACGGAACTGTCAGAGCGAGAAGGTTGCAGGACACAGACTTGATGAGTCTAGGACAACCATTGGACGAAAAAGGCAGATATCAGGAATATTGAGTCAAGCAATGACGATGGCGAGAAGCGTATGGTGTGAAGAAGAGAGCCTTCCGGGGATCGTTTACATAAATAACTGTCGGGCGCGTCTGCATGGCCATCCGTAGCGAGGACATCCTCTCCACCTCGTACTTGGGTCGTCCTCCTTTCGCCTGGAGACCCACGGCACTCGTTTGCCGCTAATTCTGTGGGTTTTACTAGTAGCGGTCAAAATGGTGATGACGCCAATATATGATGCTATCAACGAGGCATCAGTAGGATGCGGGAGAAAGACAAAGATGGCAAGTCTTACCGGTCAAATAGACTTCAGCGTTGAGTCCGGCGTCGATCCGTCTGATCTTGCACTGTGCGGACGTCGCCCGTGAGCGCTACTTGGACTGAGTGCATACAGAAGTCCATGAAAGGGAATGGAAATCTAACCCTGCGACAAGCTAAGACGCCGCTTCACCCTCTCCACAAGCTGGTCCACCGACAACGTTTTATGAATTGTCTCTCCCACTCGCATCACGTTTCTCATCCACCAACGCGTCGACCGGGCTTTGCCGAGTCCTCCTTGTTAAGAGATCCTCAGACAAGAGTCCAAAAGTCGAGTGATACGAGAACATGTAGATAACCCTGGAATGTCCCAGTGCGGAAGGCTGGACTGTCGGGGCCGGAATATGAGCGGGTTATGGCGGGAGCCTTAAGTGACATGGATTCCTCGACGACAGAGGGAGCGAGACTAGGAGACATCGCGTCAGGTATCGTATTCAATTATACAGTGCGGCAAGTACTCGGCGGTAGGGAGAACTTGACTGACTCCGACAGGTAACACTTTGTCTGGGAGCCTTCAACAGAGAACGAGAACGCGCGCGCGCTGTCCCAATATTCCTGAAAGGAACCGCCGAAGGGAAGTTGAAGAGACGCGTTGCTTCATCATGTTTTGTTTCCATGAAAATATGATGCTGGTCCGTGCCGTGCTCGAAACCAAACGCTAATCCTGCTAGTCTTTCTCGTTCACCGGCACCGCACAAGGAAACTATAGCCTCCCCAATGAGAGACACTCTACGAAAGCAAATACCGGAACTCTCCCTATAATGTGATTGACCTCGGTACTTGATGACGAAAGTAGTGGTGAACGGGGAGCTTCCCTGCTTGCTCTCAGTGACTACAAGTTCGTTGACCCGAATCTCCTTTTCGCTAGAACAAAACGGGTAGTAACCGCATTCCGTATTTTAGTGTCCGCCTAGATGAAATTCGTTAATTAACGTTTGTAACAAGGTAACTCCCACGTACTTTCCAGACGCCAATGGTATCGGTACAAGACATCTCGCCATCTCCGCACGACGTCTCATCCACCTTGATCCCACTACTGCTCCTAACGGTGGATGGATAGCTCACACTAAAAGCAAAATGATACATCAGTTCGCGAAAAGGAAAAGGCGAGAACGATTATCTTACCCAAGATGCTACATCAGGGCTTCACCGAATTACCCACCGAAAGATTTTCTGTCGTTGGTGGCTTTACCTCCAGAATGCCTCTCCACCCTGCTCCACTGATATAGGTTCATCCTCGACCTTGTTCTTCCCATCAAGCCCTGACCTTTTCCTTTATTAACAAGCCAGCCGTTCACGCCACGTACACAGCCCAGTGAGGGTGTGAACACAGAGATGCCAGGGAGGGGAGGCTTAGTGTGGTCAGGATAAGCGTGGATTCTGACAGGTGCCTTGAGCGACACGGATGTCCCGACGACAGAGGGAGCGAAACTAGGAGATGTCACGTCAGGTATTATAGTCGATTACACAGCACGGCACGTACCCGACAGTCGAGAAAACATTATGATCCTTCCCATGGTTGAGGAATGCTGGTGAGACGTCTGGGATTGACTCCGACACAGCGTCAAAGATATGAGCCTCATCGAAACATTCAACGCTCGAACATGCGTCGGCGTTGCCATGTTTTTCCGTCAGACAAGGTATTCTTCGTGGCCCTGCACATCGCTTTGATGTCACGTAAGGAATAGAGACGACAGACATCCAGCGGGGACGATGCTGGTGGAAGAGATGCGTCACTTCTTCCTGTATTCACTCCAACGATGCCGAACTGTGCGGCGTTCGTTGGCTGGATTACCTTTCACGCGTACGCAAGAAGGCTAATACGTTAAACTTGACCGTGTCTGCGGCATAGCCATTAGCTGAAGATAGTGGAGGGACCATGGCGTCGACGAGAAGAGTATAGTGCGGAGAAGACAGGCTTTCAGGAATCGTGTACACGACTGTTGGGCGTCAGCCTGTGCACGTAAATAGGTCGTCCTAGACTGCAACCAATCTTCCATATCAAGGATCTTGTCGGCGAATGGTGTCTCGCCTGCCGGTAATAAGCAGACTGGTTTGAACCTGCTACATCCCCCTTACTGTGGAAACCTTCGACACACGTTGGCCCCCTAGTCCCGTGTGTTTTCCTAGTAGTGGTCAAAACGGGTCGTGGCGTGCACCAAAGTAACTCACACAGGATGATGCCCAATATATGTTACTATTCATGAGGTATCAGTACGATGCGGGAGAAAATCCAGCATGGGACATCTCACTGGTACCAGTCAAATAGACTTCAACATCCGGTCCAGCGTCCATTTATCCGTGTCTGACCCTGCACTGTGCAGATGCCGCCCGTAAGCGCTACTTGAACTGAGCAAACGCATCAGTCCACCAAAACCGACAACGAAGGAATGGAAATCTTACAAAGATGCCGTTTCACCCTAACCACAAGCTGGTCCACCGACAATGGTTTATCATTCTTCTCTCCGCTGCGCCT